ATCGGAACCCTATAGAAAGAGCCTCATAAATTGCTTCCAAGTGACTTGCCGTGGATTTGGTAGGCAAAAGAAGTTGCCCATAATGTCTCGACCTCCTCTATGAAATGAGACTTGTACTTGTCCTCATCCATGACTGGACCGGAGAGGAAGAGGGAAACGAAGGAGATGTAGGGTGGGCTTGCAGTGAAAGTCGTGCTTTGTCAGCGGCCTATGAACTGTTTGACATGTATTCTGAGCGAGAGGCTCTTGCACTCCGCAAGCTGGCGTACACCCCTTGTAGGACTGGATTGATGGAGCGCTCGGCTTACAGTACACGGCGGGAGACAAAAAAAAGGATTCAACTAGAGTGCTACATAGGTATCTAGGTACTTAAGTAGGTATGTTACCTGACTGTTGCGTGCTGTGGGTAACGTACTGCGGTACGCGAGTGTATTCTCTGCCACAGACCATATACTCTCATCCATACTCCTGAGCAGAGTCTTGAAACACGGCCACTTCCCTTCCTATGTCCACGAGCCGCGTTTGAACAACCAGTGGAAAACCAAACCGAGACCACCGGCAAGTCAACTTCCGTTGTGTGTTGGAGCTGGCTCCGGCAAAGTAGTTGTGTATTTATGTACGTTGAAGACAAGTCACCGGCATAATTAGACATAATTGCCAGGTACTCACTCTCGGCGCAGGCAGAATGAGCGCAGTGCGGGCGGAAACATGAGCCTCCCATGCATGGATCATCAGCGCCTCGGACCAAAGCGAACCATGGCGCTGAAACGGTCTGACTCTTGGTGGCCCCCCTCGTCGTCGGTCGATCGGGCACAATGCAACGTCGTTATCAGGTGCAGCCGCCGCGCGCAAACCTTGATCAAATTCCAGGCTGCCCAGACCGGGCGCCATAATGTCAAGGACCAGACGCATTATAGTTACCAGACTTGACCCGTACGACTTGAACACGGCGCGGCACCGCCCCTGAACCCGGGTTAGGGGAGCCCAACACCGCTGTTCATTGATTGGTCAACTGCCAGACCGGCGGGCGCTGCCATTCATGCAGAAGAGAAACTTGGCGGTTGGCAATTCTGTACACGGGTCGCCGGCGGCGGCAATCTAGCCATTTGACCACACCACCCTGTCGTGCTCGTCGTGACGCTGCTCCAAGACCACAAGGACAAGAGCAATGCCCCCAAAATAATGCAATAGACATGGTCAAATCATATTGAGAAGTTTCAACGTTGTGTTAGAAAATAAGCCTTGTGAGCACTCTGATAATATGCGTAGTAGTAAAAAAAAACATCTTGGACATGCATGGCCTTTGCAGGCATTTTCTCTTTAAATAGCAGACCCGACGAACCCGCCAAAAACCAACCAGCCAAAAACAAAGAAATAGCAGGAAAACAAAAATGCACTTTTGGTAGAGTTGAGCAAGACAAGCCCCTTTTATTTCCTCAGTTTGTAAAACTGCTCCGCAACGGCGCCCATCTCGTCCAACACAATCAGGGTAGGCACCTTTGGCGGGACAGCATCCTGCCTCGGCGGCGCGGTGAGAAACGTCCGCGGAACCGTAGATGAAGAGAGGGATAATGAAGAGAGGTTGGATCCGTCGCTGAGTGACAGTGACGAGATGTTGGACAGGTCGCTTTCTCGACGTGGTGAAGATGGAGATGCTAATGGCGAGGATGGCGATACGAATGGTGAAGATGGAGTTACGTATGGTGAAGAAGGAGACATCTTTGGTTCCTTGGTTAGATATTGCTTCTTCTGACGGTTAAAAAAAAAAGGCGCAAGAACAGCAGAACCTACAAATGGTGACATCCGTTCATGGATCTCGTGTCGCATGCGGGTAGCCTTGTCTTGTTCTTCTACTTCCCAGCGCACATTGATGAGGGCAGGGGCATCTTGGACCCATTGACGAATGTCGGTTGACACGGCTCGGAAACCAGGGGCGTTTTTGCTGGCGAATTTGCACATTTGGGAATGCGTCGCTTCGACGCCGTAGTATGTTACGCCAGGCAGTTGGGGGCTTGCAGAGTTGGCATCGACAATTGTGATCCTGGACAGGGGTTGTATTAGTTATTAAAGTTGTGGCTCCTGGGAGAGAAGGAGGACGAGGAGGCTACACGTACTTGGTGCCTTTGATGTCAGTCTTGTGGTTCTCGTGGACCATGTGAATCCTAAACCGCTGGTAGATGTCCAGGAAGTGGTTGTTGATGTTCGCCAACGTCTCGTTGTCCTTCTTGAGGGTTTTGAGCAGCACCGACTCCGACTCGAAGAATTTCCTGGGCATAATGGCATCCGCCATGCCCTGCAGCATGAGCCCCCATGTCGCGGCGTCTGATCCAACATGCGGAGTGCCGAGGAAGATGAGGCCAAATGTAGACACGTATATCGATCGATAGTCTTGATGGTGTGTCATGCGCAAGTCATTCGAGTACAGCAGCGCGCGCTTCACCAAGATGCCGCCCAGGCTGTGGCAGACCCAGATGATGGGGTTTCGAAAAGTGCCTTCGCTCTTGCGGTACAGAGTGAGGCCGGTCACGAGTGTCTGGGCATGTTGGTGTATGAAGTTGTCGCTCGCGCTGCGGTCGTTCTTGCGGGAGTAGACATCGGCGTTGTACCCGTAGACGAGGATGTTGGCTTGGACCCCTTTGAGGGAGTCGGGCAGGAGATCGGTAGGCCAGAAGGTGCCATTGCTGGCGGTCCATGTCTTTTCCGGGTTGCCGTTGAGGCCGTGAACGAGGACGATGTCTACCTTGGCGTCTGGGTGGGAGTAGACGGCTGTGGTTTCGTAACGAGAGATGTTGCGATCGAGGCCCTGCGACAATTGTCGGGGTGAGTAATCAATCATATGGGAGCGCTTGAGGCTAAGGGGCACTAGGAAATGGCCGTGAGGTGAGTGACGTACCATGGTGATGGATTAGTATTGACGCAACAAGTGAAAGCAAGAGAAGGAAAAGGGGAAATAACACGTATTAACAACTGCTTCCGTCTTTTATCGGCAGAAGCGGTCGTAAGAGCGAAGAACAATTCTATGAAATAGGGCCAAGCTTGTCTGATTGTCTGGAATTGTTCTGTTCTATTCTCTTCACCTTTTTTGGACGACGGGACCTCATGTCTTTATACACAAACGTGACAGCACTCGAGATCCCCAACCCTTCCCACAACCTTCACTCGTCACAGAGCCGAGAGACAAAAACTTTCCACCTTGTCAAATCGAACTGGCCGGTGGAGCGGCACGTCGAAAGAGAGAGGTCGGATTCGCATATGTTAGGCGGACAGCAGTGTTGGGATCCATCACAGGGCCGAATCGAAGAAACTATCGTACGGCGCACATGGGCATGTGCTTTCAAGGTTTCATTGAATCCCCCACACGTCAGAACGGACCAAGAATAGACTACCCGTCGTCTGCCCATTACGAATCCACAGGGGAGACTGGCGGCCGGCATCACACAGACTAGCCAGTAGCATGAGTTTGATATCGTCCGGGCCATCACAGTCGCCTCCGTACTAATGCAGGATCTTCGGCCGAAAGAACTGCACCCTCCTCCGGAGATATTCAACTAGTGGCAACTTGCCAAGGCGGAAACTGCAAAAATCCATTTAACTTGGGAGTTAGTGTATTGATCGGGGAGAGAGGACTTTTTCCGCGGGCTACCTGTCGCCATAATTTCTTATTGTCGTTGTTGTTGTTGTTGTTGTTGTTGTTGTTGAGGTGACTGATGCAGGCATATGCACGCACATTTGTGCAGAATTCCCATTCAACCAGGCTCAGTGCTGAGACGTGACATCTGACACATCCCACAGCTGCAGTCGACGACCTTTTCTCATCACGCTCGCTTGGGAGACCCCGTATCCAGGTTGCTAAAGCCATATTGGTGGTGTGCATACACAACTTCAATCTAGACGACCTCAGTCATCTTACACAGTCATTGGCCATGGTACCCCTGGTTTTTCTGGACGGAAGCGACCCTACAAGTCCCAAAAGGTGAACAATGACGGCGGCACCAGACGCATCGTCACCCACATTAATGTCGGAAGTGAATTGATTGGCTGTTTTGACCGCTTCCTGCAGGGCCGGCGCCGTCTTTGAGAGCGTGAAAAAGCTAAAAAGTTGCACGGTTACATCGACGTAACTTTCCAACACACTTGAGGCTCGGAGGCCTGATCTGGTGTCACCACCACCGGTTTGAATCATCCATCACGTTCTGCCGGGTTCACCTGTAGTTCTGGACTCTGCCATCGTCTTTCCATTCTTGTCTTCTAATTGGTGCGCAAGCAGACTGGATGGGCACACGACCGTGCGAAAGGGCTTCATCTCCGGTTGTTAGTTGAGAGCCGTGCTTGTGATCCGGGATGAATTTATTTGACGCCCCTGAGGGCCCACATCTTCAAGAACTTAGTGCTCGACGAATTCATACTGTACATGGACATGTGGACATATTCCAGGCGGACAATACTTGGCATCAAACCAGGCCGTTGATAATCACAAGTGCGATGCAGCCAAAGTACTTCTCGAGGAAATGATACTTCAGGCATTCCTCGTCGAGATGTCAGGGATGCGCGTGTCACGACGGGACAAGAGGCAGCTTCAAGGTACGACCTCACAGAAGTGCCTCTTCATCCTTTACCCACGGCATTCGGTGCAACCTTGGCATAGCATTGTGTGCGTAGATATAACTAGCCAAGATGGCTCTACAAGGTGGTGGCAGTATTCTCTGCCAGATCATTCGTCCGCGGTCCTTGTTTCCATTCTTTGTTTGGATGCATGTTGGTGACACCGGTTGTTCATGTGGGTGCATAAATACGAGCCTAGCATCGGTAAGCTCGATTGTGCCTGCGGCATCAATGTCTTGCTCTCTCAAGATGCCTTGTCGGATGCCAGCCAGTACAGCAAGATGCATAGGAGTTTGGATCGTAGGCAAGAAAAGTGGTTCGTCCGATATCCGAGAAGAAACGTTCAGAAGGGCGTACAGAAAAAAAAGGGGGGGAGGACAATGTTGCAAAAACAAATCTTAATCTTTGGGTGCCAGCATGACAACGTATTCTCTTGTACTATTCCCGAATTGAATCAGATCCTTGTCTCGCAGTTCCAAGTACCGACTATCAGGAACTTTGCTATCGTTCAGTACGGTTCCATTGGCGCTTTCCAGATCGATCAAGTACGGCTTCACTCGGCCAATTTTGTCTCCATACTCGTTTCGTTTTTCCGTGTAACGAAACTGTATCACGGCGTGCTGCTTGCTAATGCTGGGGTGCTCGGCTGGCAAATCCACAACTGCCATTTCTCGGCCAACCAACCAGCAGCTTCTTAGGCTGAGGTCAATAGTATCGACAATATCGCCTCCTTTGAAGACGAAAAGCTTCCACTGGTCTCGGGTCGGCGGCTTCCGAGCTTCGGGTGGTTCATGGTACTTGAGGACAATGGATGATCCATCGGCCTGAGCAACCGAGTTGGACGCTGCGGCTAGTACTCCCGAGCTGCCAAAATTAGGCTTCTCCTTGGGCTTCTCCGGTTCCTCCCCTTTCGTAATGGCGAAAGAGTCTTCTTGTGACGGCAATGGCCCTCCTTGCTTCACAGGGTTTCGACGGTCCCTTGGACGACCCTCATCCAATTCGCCATCACCTCTGCGCCGTCTTCGGCGATCTGAACGCTCATCGTCACGAGCTCTTTCTTGCCTGCCGGATCGGCTGGGGAAGTCACCGCCACCGCCCCCTT